AACCCAGAAGACAGAAATCTTCATACTCATCGCCCTGATGATGGAGGCAGTATGACCTCTGAAACGTTGGTTAACATCGACCAGACTACACAGCGCAACAACCCAGAAGACAGAAATCTTCATACTCACCGCTGTGAAAACCTCAAATCTCACATGGTTCAGAGTAGAATTCACTCTTCTAGGCACGTCAGAAAATTTGTGATTCCATAAAAGACGAGGAATTTGTTTACCAGCTGATCGATTGCCAGGTTTTCAAGGACTCTACTGAACAGAGTTTGAGAAGTTTCAGCTTCAAGACAATTTACAACAGTGATTTTCAACCTGTGGGTAGAAAGGATGCTTTATGTGGGTCTAAGAATTAAAGTAAATTATTGTAATTTCTACAATTATCTATCACAAAATTATTTTGGGTCTAAAACAAAAGCAGCTGTTGCTCGTATACACATTTATGACAGTGATTCGTTGACTCATTTGTGTTTTGGCTGTAGTGGGCCGCGCAGTCAAAATGTTGAAGTTACTTACAAATATTTTATTTGAATTGTAGATGCATGTGAACTGTATTTCACTTCACCAGATGGTGCAGTGACGTTTAAGAAATTAAAATCGTGCTGCAGTCATAATGTTAATATTTGTAATTGATTACAAGGGTCGAAGGATTTTTATACCTACCAATTGCCGGTCCCTAGGAGTCTGTCACCCCACATTCTTGTCCCTGATTAAAATCGTGAGCCAGAATTATTTCCGAAAACCAAGGAAATTGAAGAAAATTATACAATTGCTCGAACTGAAGTCAAAAGAAAATTTGTATTATCTGTAGCGGAACTTTTTGACATTTCTTTCGTGTTTTGTCTTTTGCCTGATACAGGCTGCTGTAGAAGCCTTCTGTGTCCTTTACTTGTAATTTTAAAGCATCTCTGATGACTAATGTAACTGATAAATGTAGTTGCGGTTAACTTAAATTAGCACTTCGATATTTCAACCAGTTCAAAGTAATCTGAGCAGTTCTCTTTGTTCTGACGAGCTGCAGAAGACATTGTGTCATACTAGACCAAGTGATCTTTAGACCAAATTTAGACATGAGTAATGCATAAATACCACAGCCTCCAGAACAGATCTGAGACTCGATGTTGTTCTGGGTTGTGACGCCGTGAGGGCTTGTAGGTAGACAAACTACAAAAGTTTCGGAGAAACATACTGTTTCCATCTTCAGGGCTGAACCTTGAAGATGACGACATTATGTTTCTCCTAAATGTTGGTATCTTACCTATGAGTCCACGCGGCGTTATAGCCCAAAACAACATTGCCGTCGTCACTACAGTGAGAACCACAAGTCTTGCATAATGTGGATTATTTTAATATTATCTTCCTATCTGTGATTAGGTTTTCTTAGTGCCATCTTCCCTTGAAGTTGTCCCATTGAAACGCGTGCATTTTCCGTGTTTCCCAGCGTGTTACATATCCCACTTCACGCAAGTAATATCTGATGAAGACAGTAGGGCTATGTGTTAGATACGTCTTCCTTTACTTTGAGAGACCAAGTTTCACACTCATTTAAAACAGTGATGAACAAACAATGCTGTTTTTATGAAAATGCCACTGCGCAAGTATACCGGCAGAATATAGAGATATTTGCCTGTCTGATTAATGGATGTGTAAGAACCTCACTTGCCAACAAATTCTTATTAAACAGCTGCTTTTGGAACAATAACTCATGACGTAGTAAGATCCTGTAATCAAATATCCCTCCTTGCTCACAATCTTATCATATTTTTATCTTTAATCTGTCCTTTGTGCATGTACATATTGTGGACTCTAGACAACCAACCATTGTGAACGGGTATTGGAAAAGAATGTTTTCAAAGAATGTTGCATACTTACATTGAATTGTATCACAGTAATTAATATTTTAATAGTGTTCATTAAAGGTCTCTAATAACACACTAGAAATTACCTTCTCTATTTCTGTTGTCTTGTAATTTTCTCAATTACATTCTTTCTCGTCATGATCTTACAACTAACTCCATTGTCATGCAGATCTTTTAAATAAACATCTCTTCCTGAATTTCTAAGCTGTTTAGATTGTGCCACGTTTAACGGCTAACTACGCAGTGGAACGAAGTTCTTCTTTGAGAAGCTGATGGGCGTAGCTGGTCAAGAAGTTCCCCGTCTTTTATGGAACCCGAAGGGTCATTACGATGTCTACAAGAGCCCCGATTGGGCACTGTTTTCAGTCCATGCTCCACAGTTTCAACATGTTGATGTCATCCGATATACAGCCAAATCCCCCAAGTGATCTGTTCCCTTGAGACTGTCCGATTAAAACTTTGTATGAACTGCTCAGCCACCAACGTTTGGTGGCTGTATCAGGAAGTACCAGCATGCGAAATGCCGTTTGATACTGTCGTTACAATATCGAGCTTTATCCGCAAATAGGGCGGAGTTCTTTGAACGAGATCATATTAATTTATTTATCCTCATTTGCCTGCTTACAATTGTAAATATGTTACAGATTATTGTTTTTGTTCTTGTTGTTGCTTTGGGAATAAATTGTTGCTTAAATGCAGCTGATTTTCACATTATGTTTGTTGGACGTTACCTCATTTCCATTCGTTGTCATGTCTGTGATTGCTGGCGTACTCATATAGGATTTGAGTACAACTACAAAAGATTTACAGAAGTTATATTTTTCGCAAGACTTGTTGCCATGTAACATTTCAGAACCCCAGAACTGTATCGCGTGTCACTCCCCAGATCGCATGTTCGTGCACCCACAAGGTTATCAGTTGCATGAAATCAAAACGTACGAGTTTGGAGTTGCTTCATGTGGCGTATCGTAAGTTTAAAATTGAATAAAAATTCATCCAGCTGTTCTCGAATTGAAACCTGCGGACGGACAGACATAGTATCCTTTACGTGCTTTCAGTTTGCAAATAACTCATATAAATGTAATTCAGCTGCAACATTGTGTTATGTAATTGCTCTGCAATACTCTGTCCGGGGGCTCTTTCCCCAGGAACAAAGGAACCATGTCGTGATCTGACCACTCACTTCCATCCAGTGTCCAGTTTCAGAGTTCTCTCTGTTTTAAATCCATTACCACTTCTCCGTGTAATCATTCTTGCTTCATTAATTACCCCCACGTTGCAGGAGCACGTGCTACAATATCGTTACATTTTATTGATTTCTGTAAAGGATGCCACTTACATCGTTGCGGCCCGGGGTTTTCGCCCACGCGTCACCACTGGGGGATTTGTGGTGGACGGAGTGCCACTGGGACAGGTTTCCTCCGGATTCTTCGGTTTTCCCCTGTCATAATTCCACCGCTGCTCCATATTTACGCGTGAATCAAAGGGCCCATAGTCTCATCTCATCGCAAGCGACAGTGATGGCTGTTGCAGAGTTCGGGTTGCAAGTATTATCTTTGCTACCGCTCTCATACGTTCTGCAGTACGATATGGAGGGAGAGAGAGAGACTGCGCGAGCGATAGTCGACTGGAGATCGTATTGGTTGGAGGAAGGTAAAATGGAAATCGGACTTTCGTCTGAGCCCAACGCGAATGAATCCGTAAAGCTGCAAGTAGGCTTGACCACTGCCCAGGATGGAGTCTTGGGCCGTTTTTTCTCCTAGGAAAGAAGATCCCGATACCCAAAACTGAATGTGCCCGAGAATCGAAAACTCCTAGCATTGTTAACCTCGGCACTGAATGGAAGTATGTGATTAGCTCCAGGCTTTGCCGGCTCTATCACCGGGGAATGGGTCTCTTGTCATTTGATCGCACTGTTTGCCTATTTGTTCTTCACGCAGTAGCTTAAGGGTGAGTAATTAATTCTGTGACCGCTGAACCAAGCAGAAGTTGGATAAACATGTTACTCTTTACGCATTGTCTAATGGCTTTCGGTCTTCCTTTTAAAACAAAGGATTTATGGTACATGACATGAAGATCATATAGTTCTAGTAGAAAGAACAAACTTTCTGGCGAGAAAATGCAAAATTAATTCTCTTCGTTGCTTGCAGTATGTGGAAGAATTACGAATCCCAAATGAACATTGTCAGTGTAATACAGAAATATAAAACAGAAATAACAAATAGAAATGGATTGACACCCATGTTTCCAATTCAGGAATCTGAATGAAACTGAATTTGATTGTGATTTTTATAGCTGTAGATATAAATACTGGAGTAAGATGCTTTGTTTCTTACAGACATTCACTTTTCATGTTTTTCAGGAGCTGAAAGGAGGTCGGTCATTCCAGAAGCTTGGCTTTACAGACTTAAATCTGGCTGAGTTTGCAGGCTCAGGTCAGACGACTCGACGCTGCCTGTTAGAGGGCTATGACACAAGGCATCGACAGGACAATTCCATGCTCACAGTAGCTATTCGTATGAACATGCTGTCTGGTGACATCCTTTTCAAAGTGTGAGTCTCTCTTAAATAATGTACTTGTAAATAATATAGTTTAGAACTTGTAGGATCTTATTATATGTTTCAGTTTGTAAGTGTAAAACCAATAATACGTTGGTGGCCCATTGCATTATTGAACTCTGTGAAATGCATATGTGTTCTAGTCAGTGGCATAATACCTAGTCCTCTGACATTTGTATCTTTCTTTCTTTAGTCCTTCTCCTTCTTCAAAACACAAGCAGGTAGTAGCCCAAGAGGAAGGACCTGAGTGCCGTGATGAGTTCTCCAGTGGCTCTCTTGCTGGTTCTTTAGCCAGTGGTAGTTCTGGATTTGGCAGTTTGCCCAAGAAGAGGCCACCCTTGTTTCCTTCTGGTATGTTTCTACAACAGTCTCAAACCTTTCAGAATTATATTCAAGCCAGATAAGTTTCCTCAACATTGTCAGAGCGAGTCTTTACATCTTGGAAAGAAATACATATCAAGATGACTGTCTGCTGGGATGTTGCACTATGTAGCCTGTTAGAAACTGACCAGTGTCCAACATCCCAGCAGACATCTTTATTCTCGCCACCTTGAAAAATTGAAATTTTGTCAGATATTTATCAACTGGAAATTTATAGTTTCTGACCTTGTTCAGATTTTTGTAGTAAATGAAGTGTCAAGCTATTCTTATGTATTGGAGTATGCATATGAATTTGATTGTCAGAGAGATGGGAGTCAAGGATGATGAAGCGTGTTTGGCATGTGAGAGGTGAAAAATTCATACAGAAATTTATTAGATAATCTGAATGTAGTGTACTTGTGATGGGTGGATGATATTGAAATAGAGCATTAAGAAATAGGATGGGAGGGTGTAGAGTGCGTCCATCTGCCACAGGCTAGTGTCCAGTGGCAGTCTGTTGTGAACACTGTAATGATCCATAAAAGGCAGGACATTTCTTGAATAGCTGAGCGACTACTACCTTCTCAATAAGAAAGCTGCTCAATGTAATTAGTTGAGTTAGATCTCTTTTGGGTTCCTTGATCTTCTTTTTCTGGTTTAACAATGTTTATACATTTTCCGGTACCCCAACTTTTTAGTTGGCTTGATCTATGAACATTCGGTAGGACTCCTTGGACGAGGGATCGGCCTGTCGCAAGGCCTCTACCTATACACAGGGCAGCACAACACAGAAAAACATCCATGGCTTGAGTGGGATTCGAACCCACGGTCCCCGCGACCAAGTAGCACAAGGCCCACGCAGCCACCCCGGACCCCGGGTTCCTTGATTATTATTAAATTAAAACTACATGATAAAGGGAAAGAAGGTTGTCCCTTTGTGATAAATGCTGTGCCATGCCAAAAGATAAAGCTTGAATTACCCCAAGAAAGTGAGTTGAAAGTACCCAAATCTGTTTTCAACATTGTGTTGAAAAGTTAAATTCTGTTTCAGTCAGTATTGAATCCTGATGTTCAGTCACTTATTTTCTGATCCATGCCAAGAAAATTACTTAAAAGTCGTGTCTTTCACACTGGCAAAAACATTTGATACTTCTTTGCTGTTCTGCATTATATTATATGAATGTAATCTTTGCATAGAATTCTGTAAACATTTATCAGTAATTAAAAATGTGATTGAAAGACAGTAAGTTCATGACCACTTGTTTGAGAACTAATGTCATACTGGTGTCTGAAAAAATAAAAGTTATGCAGTCAGACTTACAAAGGCTGTTAAATTATTTTATTCCAGGTTACCACAGCAATGAATTTTCAGAGTGTTAAAAAATAATGAACATGAATTTATGAAGTGTAGTTTGTCTTTATCATTGAATATGAATTAGTTGATAAATTTTTGAAGAGTCCATGTATTCCAGTTAAGTAAAATCATATCAGAAAACTCTAATCTGAAATAAGTGAGTGAACTCAAGGGGACACTTGATAAGTACACATTACTGTGACAGTATTATCTTACCATGACTGCTTGAATTCACATCTCAATGAAAATCATATGACATATTTGATTTAATCGCCACATCTTACAAAGATTTTCACTGTACAATTATGAATTTCTGCCATCAGTGAAAATTCTCACACGTATTGGAGCATAGTAATTTTATTTAAATAGGATGTCTGTAAAATTGTGGTGGTGTTTTATTTCATGTAAGAAATATGAATGAAATGTGACACAGAAGGGGAAACTGAAAGATTTTGGTGCTGGTGACATTCTGTATGGGGCTTTGCCTCACAAACACAAGAATATCTAGAGTTCTAAACTTGGCAGTATATTCAATATTTTGCTTTATATGGTACATCTCATTACAACTTTATTTTACGTAATCCTATAGATTAAAGTTTAGGAGAGTAAGGAATGGAGATTGAAGTGGTGTAATGCTAACTGTGCTGCCTTTTTTTAATTTGTTCTTGACTGGTTTGTATAACAGTGCTATTTAAACTGCGTCAGTTATGAAATATCAGTTGGTGGGATGATTTTTAGTAATGAATTGTAAAGAAGTGGCCATGACCTATTGCAAAGTACTATTCCATAATTTACCTGGAGGGACTACAGAAAACCACAGAAAGCTTTGTCATGATAGCCATCCTGTGTTATAAAATTTGATGTGGAGACCTTGCGAAAATTAAGTGGGAGTGCTGAATTGCGGCATTTATTGGCTAGTTAGTTAAATTTTTAAGTTGATATGTAACAATTTTTTGTACACAGAACTAGCGACAGGGACTGTCCAAGACACTTTGGATCCGGCGGATGCTGCCGGTGAGATGGAGGAGGGTCATGAACCTGGGCATTCACGCAATTCTTCCAACACCAGTCAAATGAGCAAAGCATCAGGTTACTGTTCCCTCAACAGTCATTCGCAACACAGTAGGCAAAGCAGCTCAGGGGATTCAGGACATATCAGGTGAGGGCAATGATTAGTGCACTGTGAGAAATGTGAAGGCTGTGGCAGAATACTGAGTGCAGGGCAACAGTCTACATAAACATATGATTCACCTGCCTTCTGAACAGTGAGTCTGGAAATCCCCCCTAATTCCTACTGATTTCAGAGCATTGATACGTTATTATTTTAGGGAGGTGGGGGTCATATGAACACAAATCCACATTTTAAGAATTTTAATCTAGCCATGTTCCTCTGTTCAATGCTACTTGGATATTTAGTTCAGGAAATTAAAATTTTGCATGAATTCTGCTGCAGTAATTTGTTAATAATAAAGATATTTGCAAAGAAATGTGTGGTCAAAAATTACAAAATTACTATCAGCAACAGAGACAGATTTTAGGGCAGTTCGTTTTTATTACTATTATTGTGTAAGAACCAAAATCATTGTAAGTAGGGTTTGAGGTTCTTGCAGGAGTGAGTATGCAGATGGCTGTCTTCTGGGTTGTGTCACTGTGATGCCTCTGTCATCAGGGCAATGATCACCCTGATAATGGAGGTAGCAAGGACCTCTAAAACGATGGTAAACTTCTACCAAGAAGATAGCCATTTTCAAAATAAACCCAGCTGTAGATAAGATCTCTTTGCTTATAGGTAAGGAAAAACTGGATGTGTTCGAAATGATGATGTAGAAAATATTTTAATACTATATTGAAGGAACTTGAATGATATGATAATGGCAATATGACATGTAAGTTTCTTCCATATTTGCCATTTTTGAATGATTTGAAAGTGATGTTTTGAGGAACCATGGCATTCACTTTACATGTCTAAATACAGTATTTTACAATCTTTGGCTTACATACAGATTTGTTTTTCATGCACATTTAATTCTTGCCAAATAATTTGAAAAAACTAAATCTGATGAAATATGTTGAGAGATAGTATATTTATTCATGGTTTTGAAACAGTCTGGTTGCTTCTAATTGAATAAATTTGCCTTAATGAAGTAGACCAAGTTGAGATGTCCCTTTATTCATAATTATTGTGCCAATAAAATGGCTGCAGCTCGACAGGCATGTTTACAGTGTGTATAATGTTTATTTATGAGAAAGTACAAGTATGAATGCTTGTTTTGTTGAGAAATTCATCCTAGTATAATTTGTAGCTTTAATTGAGTGGTTTTCCTCTAAGTATGCCAGTCACAATTATGCATGCTTTTCTGTATTTTTGGATTTATAATACTATATCATTATAGTGGAAAAAAAGTTGGCATGGCATGTAATATTATGTTTGAACTTGTTTAAGCATTACCTTGCAGAATGGCTTATACATTTTCAATTTTTTTGTTCAGCATTGTACATATGGCAAATGTCTTATTTGATTTGCTTTAGCAGCTTTGAGCAAGCAAACTTGTTCAAAAATGAGCTAAAATATCCATTTTGTACCTCATTTGATCTGTAAAATACCTTTATCATGTAAGTGCTAAGTAACTGCTGGAACCATTGCCACTTAGGCATTGATAAAGTAAATGGTAAAATTGTTTCTGCACTTAATTAAGCACCACATCTTAAAGATGTATGGGGGGATGGAGGTAAATTATTAAGTTCATACTTTAGCAACTTTGCCCTGGGAAGAGTCCCTGGTAGTTGTTGGTAGGAGGCTGGGTGGGCCCCAGAGTTGTCTGGATGTGGCACTGAAGAAAAAAGTTTTTATCCTAGCCAGGAACCAAACCCCTATTGTCCTGGCTATGGCCAGTCACTATACTGAGTTATCCTGGCTCTGAACCACTGCCTCTTAGTTAAATATATATATTGGACCATTAAATTGAATACATATATTTTTATTTGGATTTCATAGTACGTATACAATAGCAGGTAGTTTGTTTAGAGATTTTGGAATAAAGTTAAAAGTTTTTTATGTGTATGGTGTAAGGTTTATTTTTCTTATTGTTTGAAATTTAAGGGAAACTTTAACAAATAATAATAAATTAATACCCATGAATTAAAGGATCATAACATTATAGTTGTTATTAGAGTACCTATTTCTTCATTTCATGTGATAATTTGTAGTGTTGACATTTGTCTACAAGAAAATGAATTTTTATTCTGCTCCATTATGTGTACAGAGTGTCTCTAAAAAATGTATAGACTCTTTGAACAGTCATGGCACTTATATAGGTACATAACAATACAGGTAGATGTTATTTATGTTATGTTTAATGTTGTTGTACCCAAATGCATAGTTTTCTCTTGTTAATCAGACTGATGGGACTGTGTTTGACGTTTGAGGAAAGTAACTGAATTAATAGACAGATGAATGCAGAATGTACACAGCTTGTATTCCAGATCTTTTAAATCACTACATCATGGTAGTGCTTTGTAAGAGTTGCAGGTTTTTACATAGCCCCCTAGAAAGTCTCTCTTTCCTTTTTAGAATGTTGTCTGTAAAAGCACTGATCATTGTATTTAGTACAACACAAAATGGAAACAATACAACCATATGCCATAAATAAAGATAATTCAGATTGTCAGCTTGAATTTTGTTAGTTCTAGATTTAATTCTTTGGTCTAAAGAAGCTGTTTTTGAACCTCATAGTCACATCACTCAGTGTGTATTAGACAAAAGAAAACCCATTCAATGTTCAGAATTGTCCACTGTTTCAGCAAACATTTCAGTTACCATCTTCAGGTTGAATTTATGGTGGTTGAACATGTTTGGAAGCCTTATACAGAGAAGCTAGCACCATAATAAACTGATTGCCACTTACTGCCACTAAATGCAGGCATTTTGAACATTTAAATTTCGTCTTAAACCAATAAGTGAATAAAGTAAATTTTTTCGGGACACTCCTGTAGTTATAATCATGGATGGATTATAACATGCAGATTTATGTTCTAAATGTTTAATAACGCTTTTGAGCATGATCAGAACAGAATTTATTGATTACTGCATGAACCATATTTGTCCATTGCATTTGATTGTTCTTTTTTTCTCTCTGTCTCTCTTTCTGTGTGGGCTTTATAGGTCCCCATCTTGGCCAGTGTGGGTGCCTCAGTTACTCCCAATTCCGTCCCCGACTACCCATAGAGCTATCCCTACCTCATCCACCTCACCTGTTGTAGATGCTTCCTGGAGTCGATTCTGGTCACACAAAAATCCAGTGACCTCCCGATCTACACAGAATAATATAGGTAACTCATCTTTCAAGAGTCTCATATCTCCTTCCATGACAGATGTTCAATTGAAACTTCCTTCTTCCCCAGTGTTCTTTGCTAACCACTCATCTGCCAATGATACCTTGTCCCCATCCACTGCACCTCCTGCTTCTATACCAGCAGGAGTTCTGTTCTGCTTCCCTCCGTGGGCTTCACCCCGCACCGCCCCTCGTGCTTCCTCTTCCCCTGGCATGCTCCATCAACACAGCCCAAGCTCCCCAAGAGGCAGTCAAGCAGATGCACTTCATGGCAACAACCATATGAAAAGGTAGGGCTCATGATTGGAAAGTCATGTTTTGTGTTAATTGTGATTTTTTGTACAGAATTGTGTGACTGGTATTTGCATTGTGCTTGCCCTGATACATGTAAGATGGAGAGACCCTTCAGACAGGAGTGTAGAACCAGAGTACACGAACCTATCTGTACAGTTAAGTAAACTATTAAATAAATAAATAAAATTGGCAGTAAATGTTAACTAATGCCAGTTTATTATTTAATACCAGCAATACCCCTGTGGGTATTTTATGTTTGTGGTGCACTGTTTGGGAAAAACAGGATAGTTCGTGTATCTGCTGTTTAAGTTCTTGGACACCTGTGCATGATTTGCAATAGAAAGATCTTTAAATTTCCTAAGGTCTCTCCAAGAGGGAAATTGTATGTACTTACAATTTTTTTAAACAGCGTGCTTTTATGTATAAGTTTTTGAACAACCCTGTGTCTAATTTTTAAAATTGAAAAAATCTATAATTTGTCCAGGGTTCTCTCCCCAAGAACTTTTTTTGTTTCCCATTTGTTTCTACAACATGCCATTTGGATGAGGATTGGGATAGGTAGGTGAATTTTGTCTGTTATACAATATATGGACATGGACATTTAACATGATCAAAGAATAATTTGTTTTTATAAACAGAAGGTACATTTTACAATGTATTTGTACATTTTTGCACCTTCCATTACTGTGTGAAGTACTGTCATCAGGATCTTTTTGTCAGTATCAGAATTATCTTTCCTTAGAGACCCCCAAACACTGCAGTGCAAATGGACTGTTACTTTTGATTGGTGTTTGAAAATGGGATTTAACAGTCCCAATGAATAGTATCCATTTTTCGTGGTGTAAACACATTTTTAACATGGACATTTCAGGGGGAAGAACAGTTGTGAAACAAAATAAATGGATATTACTTATATAACTCAATTATATTAAATATATATTTTAGCACAGCTCTGTCAGTTTGTAACATTTTATTATTCGGGTAAATATATTATGGTTTACAGTCAACTTGTATAAATAATTGTGTATTTAAATTACACTAAATTAAGTAAATATTAAAACAAAATAATTTCTACATAAAATGTTTTTCTCTCCATCTTCACTGTGCTTGTAAAAACTATGAATATTTATTCATATTATATTATTATTCTCTTATAAGTAATATTTGTTTCTTTGCTTGTGTAAATTCAGTATAAATATATCAGTTGTATGGAAGTAGATTATACATACACCTGCAGGAATAAGCCTGTAAGAAATCTGAAGGTCATTGATTTGTAAAATGATTGTATTTTTACTAATTTAGGTACATTCTTTCTTGGTCCTAATTTGGGGCATGGAAAATGTTTTGTGTAGAATTTTCCTGTATATAGTCCTTGAAGACTGTTAATACTAACAAAGAATTATAGCCAAAACCATCTCAATGTGGTGCTGATAATTAATATCTGTGACATTATACTGTCTGTGCAGTATGCTCACTGGTTTTGATTTAACTTTACTGTTGTGTAAAAGATAGAGGTGAAGTTTCCCTGGTTCTTAACTAACCGCCACAATGTGTAGGGGAATGGAGGTGTAGTTGTACCACTGGAAGGTAAGTGGTGAAGAATGGCCACCATTGTGCCCATTGAATAGGATGGGTGGGCCCTATTGCTGATCTGGACTGTGCAGTGAAGAAAAAATCCTTTGCAACTGAAACTTGAGTCCTGGTTGTCCTTGGCATAGTCTGGTGAACTGAGTGGCTGACTGACTTCTGTTGTCTGTTTTCATGAGGCCCAGTATCTGAATACAAATAGTAGCCAAATTAGCTGACTCCATGGAGCTGAGTCCTTGAGAAGCAAATACTTGCTCAGATGGTCAAAGGAAGGCAAGCCACCTCAATGCAAGATATCTATACAGAAAATATAATTGTATTATTGAAGTCTGCCTGATAACTATGAAAATGTCTAAACCAAAATTCAGCTCTGTGAATTTTAATTTACTGTTCTAAAGTTACAGGTATTTATAAACTCAATTGACAGTTTACAGATATTTATCCAATCAGAAGCTTAAGTGAATACTTTTTTTTAATAGTTGCAAACTTAAAAAACCATTACTCTTCCTGGAGTGTATGATATTGAGCCCCCTAAGAGCTTCTCTTGTATCAGGCTTCTCTAATGCCCTATGTTACTGTTTTTTGTTGCTGTTTATAGGTTTTTATTACAGTCTTTTTATGCATGAACCAAAGTTTTGTCTTGTTTACAAATTTGATTGAGAAGTTGTAGACACATTATCACTATATTACTGTGTGCACTATTGCTATTACTATGTGTGTATGCCATGTTTACCTCTGCCATTTGACGGACCTGTTTTTCAGACATACGTTATACCATTGCAAAAGGATGGAGTTTATGTTATGTCACTAAATGAATCTACAACTGTTTATTCCACAGGTAGAAAATTGTGTTACTTCAGTAGTTTGATCAGCCTGAGCTAAATATTCATATCAAAAGGGGGCTTGTATGTCATAGGGTCTATAGTAGTGAAAACACATTGGTGCATGGATACAAATACTCATCTGCAGAAGGGTTAAAAAGCCTAATTCCATATACTGAAACAATTCTTAATGTATATCAACATTTTAATTCGATAATGATTGATTCTTGATAATGAAATATATCACGTTAGTTCATGTTGGTATACAACAGAATGCACGGACCCAAAAGTAACATAAAACTGTGCTAAAATACTGTTCCCGGATGTCTCATAACTATCAAAGATTTGTACTTTGGTTTTTAAAGCTACAAATTGAAATAAAGGCAGAAACTTTTGTTGCTCTTTGCTTAAACTTATATATCAATGAAATGTTTCAAACTTATTTTAAAACATTGATTTTCAGCCATAAACATATGGTTCCATTTTAATTCTATTCATGAATTTCCAATACTTCCATTATATGCCATGGCCTGAAACTTACTTCCTCCCAAAACATATGTTATTAAGTTTCCATTGTAGCACATAGGAAGTTCACGAACAACTGGAATTAACTCAGTTGTGGCTTGTGCCACATGGCTGGGAGCTGTAGTGGTGTTTAGTGACATGGGAGTTGAACACCAGTGGTTGGCTTGCAGGAGTGTGATGTCACAGCATCGGAAGTTGTTTGAAAGCAACTCAAAACTGCCAACTGTGGCAATCAGCCCCGATGACCAACCAGAGGAGAGTGACAATTTGACCCTTACAGCAGCTGTCATGCATCGGAGAAGCAGCACAGTGTTAGTGTGCAAGTGTACATCTGCCATGCCTGTTGGTGTTTTTATTGATATGAAATGCCTGCTGCATAACCATTATTTTACTCAGCATCCTATTATCATATTCTTCCTCTCTGTTACCTTTTGTGATGTTACATTAACTTTATGTACCCTGGTTTTGTTTTATGTTCTCCTTTTTTGTCATTATAGAGGATATGTCATTAGAAATAATGTTTATCTGTTATTATCTGTTAATCACTGCACTCATAACTTTGAGGATACACAGTTTATATGAATGAAATGAAGTGAGGTCTTGGGTTACCAACCACATTTATATGGAACAAAAGTCTGATGTTTCAGAGACTGCGTGTCTGTTGTCATGGACTGATAAGAAGTAGACAGACAGAATGGAGAAAGAGACAGTCTCCAAAATATTAGATTTTTGTTCCATATCAATCTGATAATCTCTCAAGGAGACTTACTTGCATTTAGTTTCTATGATAATTTCAGATTTTATAGACTAAAAATGTTAACATCTTTCTTTCATGTGGTCTTTTTATTGAATGCATTTCATGAAGCTTCAGCATGTGTGCACCAGTTTCAAGTTCTGTTCATTAATATTTTAGTCATAAGATGATGTGCATCTGTTCACAAAGCAAGCCTGAAATTTTCTCTGCATTAAGCAAGCGCATCATGAGATCAACTTACACCTGTTACTTTAGAGATAATAGTTGTTGGTAACTAATTATATTTCCCTACTTACCTGCTTTGAGTTATTGTTCTAACAAAATGCAAAAATTGTTTGTTGCACATAATTAGGAAGCATGATTTTTAAAACTGTAAATTATATAGCACCACATTCCTTGAAAACAAATTTCACAGCCTTTTAAAATATTTTGTACCATTTCAACTTCTTTCTTAAGTGCAGTGTCTGTAATTCTCAAAATAATTGACATGAAATGGAAGTTATTTGTAGTTCTTCTCTTTGCCACTGTTAACAACTTAAAGATATACTTTGAATATCGATGTGGTATTCTGGGTTGTGACACCATCTAGCCTTGTATAAGACTGCGCAGCATCTCAGCCCATTGCTTTGAGAACATTAAATCTCAGACACATTAAATACTTCACAGCATGCATGTTCATGTGTTAATGAAGCACATTCAGCAAGCAGTCACAAACAACTGACAAAAATGGGATTTCCATCTGGGAGATTTGGTATATAGTTAATGACCATTTTTCTCAGTAAACTGCTGTGTTGTGAATCCAGTGTTATAACCCTAAAGTTTGGCACTCTAGCATGACACAGCGCATGAGAATTAGTAGTTGGATTGCAAAGAGTGAATATTATAGATGCTTTTTAACCATTCATTACAATATGAATTGATTTTAATAGGAATAAAATAACCACAATTTTTAAACTGAATTTTGTGTAGTAAGATATTGAAAACCATAATTAACAAAGTAGATTTTGTTAATGATAGAACGTTGTATTAAATTCTTTGGTGTGATGTAAATCTGTGTGCTCCAGTAGAAAAAAATTATACTGTAAAAGTTGACTTTTCTCAATTTTGTAGACATTACATGAAATTTCAGTTTGAAGAATTTATTTCTTATGGTATAGCAGTGTTTTTCAGACCTTTGGTGATGAATGAGAGTATGCATGGAAATAATGGTAACTTTGCTGCAATAAAAAAATCCTACTTTTGAAGCACATCATAATACACATAGTGCATATTATATACTGCACTTGATAAAAAGAAAACACCCCTATTGACATTGTCTTATTCTTACTGAACAAATTTATGTACAAGTCAAAGGTATTGGGTTAAAATCTTCAACAGATTTGTAGTTTTGGAGGAAAACAAAAAAGTACATAGAAAATAATTCCTGGAAAATTATCTTTGCTATCGTAGTATTCTGAACCAAGAGATTGTTGGATACATAATTTTGCAGAATATATCATCTTATTTATTAATTAATAACAATGGGATAACTTTTGATAGGTGATGGTGTATGACTAATTAAATAGAAGTAGATAAGTTGATGGAAAATGTGTAACCAATTGAGCTCTAAGCGGTAGAAAAGGGCCTAATATTTGGATGCATTTCTTGTTTCCCCCATGCATGCTACATATCTGATTCATCTTATGGTAGCAAGGTGATTTTGTTGTAGCGGTGTGAGATATTTTGCTGTATGTATGTTTTTTAATCCTAGATGTAAGTGGATTAATAATATAATATTAAAATGGTGAGGTTGTGGACTGAAACTGACTCAGGATATTTTCTACTGGCAGGCACTTTTGAACGTAATGAACCTTCATTCCATAAAAGGTGGGGGATTTCTTGGCCAGCTGAACAACTGTCATCTTCTCAAAAAGGGTTCTACTTCTTGTAGTAGTTATTAACACTATTTCAAATAGAAACTTCCAATGTATTGATGTGTTTGCTATGTTATATCTAATTAATATCCTATTTTCATTCAGTTTACTGGTTGTTATGAAAAGTGAAGCAGACTGGTGAAATGAGAATGCAGTGAAAAACAATAATAAACTAAGATGTGTTTTAGGTGGTAGAACATATTTTCCCTTTCTCCTCCCCCCAAAATTATTGAAACATCAGAAAATATCCCAGAACCTAGACATATGCTGGAAATACTGAGAAGTCTTACACTGTATCTTATCAGAATGATCATTTAAAACTTTGCTGCAAATAAACAGGAGGTGTTCAGTTGCATTTGTGGTACCAGTGCTAGTAACATTTGTGAAGGTATTAAGTGAGCAGCATTGTCGTAGGTGTAGCTAGCTTTTGTGCTGTTGAGATGTTGCATATTTGGGTACTGTTCTAGAAATCCAAGTTCTGGGTCAGGATTAAGTGAGACCGGGTCACTTGACCGGGCAAAGGCAGCACTAGAGAGACGCAAGAAGGCATCTGAAGAGGGGGCGCCACAGGCACGTGTTGAAGTCACACGAGTGAACCCAGATAGCCTCATTGATGAAATCTTGCGATCCACCAACTTGGAACCACAAGATGAGTCAGGTATCAGTAATGTACCCTCATTCTTGAGTGATATTGTATTATTAGTTAATTTGCTTAAAAAGTTTTTATCGGAAACCATTCTTTCAGTATCAAGATTTACAGATTGTCTCCAGCAGCAGCATGTTTTGCCTTGTTTTATAACAGTAACAAATTTTATTAGTTACCAAACAAAACAGAACACTTGTACTGGAGAGTGTTCAATAAATACATCCAGGGTATGTTCTACTCATGTTTACTACCTTCACTTTGATGTTCATCACAACAGTTATTTTTATACATCCTCGAGAGTAATTGGCACATTTGTCCCAATGATAACATCACCTGTTTTATTTCTGTGAAGAATAAATTACCCTAGCTTTCATCTTCTCTTTAGATTGGAACTGTTTTTCTGTGAATTCCTTCTTTGGTAGTCTGAAGTGCTCAAGATCACTGCGCAAGATGTGTAAGTTCTGGGCTGCACTTTCACTAATGTGATACAAGGTCATTTTTGTGCATCAGTTACCCTTGCAGGTTGCCTACCCCTGTAAGGAAAATGTGATAGAATGACATCAGTGGGCCCATGAAGTGTTCTTCACTCAAGCTAGAGCGTAAATGATGCCTAATAATCACTGTCTGTGTTGAGAATCAAAACTCAAGTAATCTAGCCAGTACAGTTCTCAAGTAAAATTTAGCTTTACATTGCTATAAACAGTGCACTTGAAACACTTTCATAAAATTAGTATTGATCAATTGGCTAACTATAAAATTCTCGCCAACTTAATGATAAGCAACCAACGGTCTCGTGCTGTTTGTAGCTGATACTTTGCAGATCCCTGACTGTTTGAACACAAATATTTGTTCTTTAACTTCATGTGCATATATTTACATAATGTTATTTTAGTGTATTGGGGAAAAAATACATTTTGACTTCATTAAAAAAATTGTTCAGATTATGGATAACATTGGTGTAAGTGAACAATAAATAATGTTTATGAAATCTGAGGTTCTCACAGCAGCGAAAATGATGATCTGGGTTGTGACACCATGTGGACTCATAGGTAGATACCAGCATTTCAGAGGAACACTCTGACCATCCTCATTGCACTTACTGTTGAACTATGTTCTTGTTCTCTACACCAGTGGTATTCAACCTTTTTTGTTTGCATACCCCCAGATATAAATTCTCTTCAGCTTTGTACCCCGAAAGTTGTTGGTGTATAATTCAAGTTATACATAGTATATAATCTACATCTAAAATAAATTACATTACTCATTATTCAGTGTTTATCATAAAATAATATATATATATTAATTTCACATACCCCTAAGATGTCTTCGCGTACCCCAGGTTGAATACCACTGCTCTACACCACTTCTAACAAAATTAGGCCATCATTCTGGACATTTCAGAGGAGCATCATGAACAAAATTGTTTCTGCAGTTGGATTCAGTTTTAATTTTAATTTTTATTTTGGTTTGAATTTTCAGCATCAGGCCTGCAGCTATTTATTGCAAAGGATGGTACAACTGCACTGGGCAGCCATGAGGTAAAGAGTCAGATGTCAGCAGGAGTATTTAAGCAAGTAGTCATGGATTCAGACAACAGGTAACCTTTAGTGGGGCAGTGCTGTATTAGTTTAGGCTAGACAGAATCATGAGATTTAGTATGTGTTGACCAGGACAATGGTCTTGTGAAATGTGACATATTTTGGTGATTGACAGAGAGTGAAATAAGACAATAAGTATAGGCTGCCATTGCTTGAGATGTAGTAGTTAAAAATTACGTTTGTCTTTGAATGTGACCAATGTGTTGTGTGGGTGTTATAAGCAATCATGTGTTAAAGGTCTATATTGCTCAGGTTACTTATGGCATTAGATTTGGTTTATTTATTGTATGAACAGTATATTTAGGATTTATGCCTCTTTAAAGATGATTTCATAGCCTTGTGTCAAGCACTAGAACAATTTTATTTATGAGTAACGAATCCATAATTATTAATGCTGAAAAGTGCAGAAGTGATATGTGTTTAGTTCTGTTTCATTGCTTGGCATATGTGTAACATATATCCATAAACTTATTGCTATGCATTGCCACAGCAATAAATAATAGCACATTGGTTAGTAAGATATGCATTTATAAGTTTTTTTATAATAATTATTTCATTGCTTTTACTTGAATACCCCAGGTGAAGAATGGTTGCTTGTGCTAGCACAGGTTTAAACAGTTTAGCAAAATCATTTTAGTACAATTTGGCCAGAGTACCTATGTGAGCAATAATTCCTTTAGCATATTAATTTATCATTCCTGTGACCTTCCAGCAGTGAAGGATTCTGCCTATAGATTACTGAGCACAATAATTGAATTGAAAGAAACTGAGCTTTGAAAGATAGTCTGAAATTTTATACTTCATAGCGTTTGTATTTGATTACATACATAACTTTTGTTAAAATACAGAAGAATAAACTGATACAGATAAGTTATTCTAATAGTGACAGATGTTTACTTGATTCTGCATGTGAACTCAGAAATTCAGGATTACTGCGTGAAGCAGCATTAGGCCTAAATTGTTGATTGATTTAATATGGCCTTGCACTACTGGAGCAAGTTTCTGTTTGTGTTATGTTGGTCCTCTGCATTGTAATTCCATGCAGACTTCTACGTAGCTTATAAGTCTGCATGATAATAAAACCCAGAAGACCAGCTTTGATGTCTTTGCTGTAAGAACCTCAAATCTCTAAAGTTTGTTTCATAAGTTTACTCAATCTTAAATATGGGCATTAGCAATTCTGAAAATTTAAATTGCACGTCATTGTCAGTATTCACTACTTCATTTTATTTGAATGTGAAGTTGTTTCTATAATAATGTAATGTAATATTTTAACATTTTGCTAATACACGTAAGGTTGCTTACATCTTATCGTCTTCTTTAAGTTTCCATAAGACTGCTAAATAGCGTGTACTTTGTGCATATTTGATGTGAATGTTATCTGTACAATATATGAGTAATAGTTAATATTTAGTTTCTAAGAAATTCCCCCCCCCCCCCACAAGTTAATTATGAGATCCTTTTTGGAGACAGTTGAATATAAGTGATTTGAAGTGTATTATGATAACTTACATGGACATTATCCATCATCATTGGTTCAAAAATTACACCAATATTAAAATTAAAGATTCTAATTTTTCTCAGTGTCTGAAATGTATGAAATTTTAAATTCTTTTAATTTGTGTATTGGTGTAATTTTGTATAACAAACAATGAACAGTGTCCAAATAAAATGTCATAATAATGCCAATATCCATTTGCCAAAAAATTATTTTTTTCTCATATTTTAAAATGATTTTCTTTTACATTCTGCCATTTGGCTTCAATCTTAAGATCAGTTCATAAACCTTGCCATCCACACGGTCCTATAGAAGATATAGTGTCAAAGGATTCTTCCTTCACATGTCGGTTGAAGGTGACTTTAATTCGAGTGGTATATCCCTGCTTAAAGACCTCATAATTTAAATACATGTGTCAAATAGGTGCAGTAGAATAGACTACTTACATTTAAGGATGAAAGTTGAGCACTAAATATTTAATATAAGCAGCATATTTGTTGCTTGAGTAAGTAAAAATAGAGTACAGTATTTTGTTTGGAAGTCACATTGAGTTATTTGTATGTAAGTCTTAACCTGTCAGAAGGTTATGAACAGACCAACAAGTGAATGTTTTGATTTTAGAAATATATAGTTAATGGATCTGTCTGTACATAATAATTCTGCTTAGGTGTTATTGATAAAATAGTATTCTTTACATTACATGTTGTATTTATAATTTTTATAATTTATTAGTTGAATTCCCAAATGAAGCCTTGACATAACTTTAATTATATACCATTGAATGGTATTAAGCTTTGAGGTGTGAAAAGTATAGGATTTTAGGTCACAGTATGAGTAATTAGGCATAAGTTGCAGAGTTCAGAATGTGGAAACACCAATGAACTATTTGTTTTAATTTATTGAACATTTTTCTGTGATAAATCTGTACAAAAACTTTAAAAGCCATCTACACTGTTCATAACCGTTTTATTTTTTGATTTGTCATTATCTTCAAATTATAATATTTGTTGACAGTTTTAACAGTGTCTTGTTAATTTCTTGACTTATTCTTGCATGTTTGTTCATGTACCTTTCAGTTTGACAGAAAACGTAACATCATATCAGACGTATTTTTTAAAATGAGGTCCATATGCCTTTTATTTTTTGAAGATTTTTAAGAATGCTTCAATAAAGTAAAATTTGTAAAACTAGAGAAGGAAACTTACAAAATCAGGGACCCATAGAATCATCAGTAGATGGAGAATGTTGAATATTTAATTTTTGTATTAAAAAGCTTTCTTCTTTCTTTCACAGGTAAACAGAATCTTTGTGTAAGATAGCAGGCATAAATGGGAAATCATTATTTTTATGGTAATGTGATATATTATGTTTGTGACACCATCCTATCTGAGCGATCTGTTGGAAGTGCTTTAAGCTAAAAAAATGTAGTAAACTTTTGATTATCGTTAATGTATTGGAAAGGGAGTGTCAGTGATTAAATATCACAAAATATTTTTTTAACAGCAATTTTTTTATGTAAGCTTCCCTTCAGTTAATCATTCATGGGTTATGTACAGTAGAGAACTCAAATTGTTATTTCAAATAATTCTTGCTTGTTTAGGTAACATTTGATTTTTTCTTCTTCTTTTTAATGTAAGTGGTGAGAATGTTTTAGATATTTTAGCTACAGCCCTTAAATATTTTTGTGTCTGTTCATGCTTATTTCTGGCTATGATAATGGATATGAAACTTTGTCCTCACTGTATTACACAGTTACAGATTGCTTCTCCTTGTGGTGACATCAAGAAATCTGTGATATGCTCTTTAGAGCAATTATGGTCTGCAGAGCTTGCGTTTCTGGCTTATATCCATAGGCCTTTCTTACAAAGTCACTTTTTGTTAGCATTATAAATCTATCCAGGTTTTTTCAGGTTGCTTGTAATACAGGCAAAAAGCAGCTAGCAGCTGAACTACTATTCCTTATACATTCCCCTTGTGTTGTACTTTTATATCTCTTGATCACCATGGTGAGGAGATATTTAATGTCTTTTCCAGTCATAGCGTCAAGGATGTATCTGGCTGTGTGGGTCCAGAAAGCCTAGAAATTCTAACTTTGATTCAGTCTCCATCGAATGTGTGTTGTTCTTCATGACCATTATGATTTTATCATCTGTACCATAATTTGTAGCCAGGTAAACTGCAAACCATTCTTACTTTAAATCATCTTCTAATTTATATAATCTGTGTAAGACAGTATTTATGTGGGCACTGAAATGGCTTACAGTAGGTTTACAAGTTATAAAAAGTACATGATTCAATGTTCTGGGTGTAAATTCATTAATATATCTTGGTACCATTGGTTTTTATCCCGCTTTGGATCAGTGTAGCCCACAACCTACCACTCTGTTTCCTTAAGATCTTTCTTAATAATATCTTCCCATTTATGCCTAAGCCTTCCAAGTGATTTCTTCCCTTCAGGTTTTTGAACCAAAATTTTGTATGCATTTCTCATCTCTCCCATGTGTGCTATGTGCCCCACCTATCTCTTCCTTGATTTGATTTACCTATGATATTTGACGAAGCTTACAAATTATCAAGCTCCACGGTGTTCAGTTTTCTCCAGCCTCCCTATTAGATCCAAATACTTTCCTCAGCACCCTGTTATCAGACACACTTAATCCATGTTCTTCCCTTAATATGAGAGACCAAGTTTTGCACCTGTGCAAAGCAGTGTGGCAGTTGGGACAAAGCTCTGCTTTCTGCAGCCATTGGATATAGTAGGGAAGGAGATCAGAGGGATTGGGAAGGGTAACAGATGAGAAAGCTTATACTGTCCAAACTATAAACATTACTGCTGTTTTATTTCCTTTGTCCATAATGTCTTTGGTTTACATGGTATATGCATTTGTATTCCTTCTACCTGCAAGGTAATAGCATAGTAGAAATGCACAGTTTGGTCTCAGCTGCTGTAAATTATAGTTTTTTATATTTTAATCTTTGTTTTTAGATAGCAAATGGGAGACAAGCAATTCTAGTCTGCATGGTAGCAGACATTCCTTGAATTTCTCTGCTCTTAATTTTGTCATATGCTGATGTATCATCGCAGCAACCTTTATATTATGATTTTATCTTGTGAACAAATGTGAAAGTATAATTAACTTCTCATCATATTTGCTTTGAGGCCAACTTCCTTCCTAGCATTTACTAGAGCTTCTTTGTTTTTCTCAGATAATTAACATCATCAATTATAGACCAGAAGCTGATATGGCCCATTCAGTTCTATTTCCTCTTTGTTTTCTTGGACCTTCCTAATGTCATATTTCAAAGCAAAGTTGAAAAGCATTGGTGATAAGTCATCTCTTAGTTTGAGACCATTCTGAATAGGAACCAAGGAACTGAATGACCACTCATTCGTTGGTTCTGTTCTGACATATTCTGCACCTAAAATGTGGCACTTGACTGAAGCAGACTTCCTGTTTACTGTAGTGCTCTAGTTTTGTTGCATGCTTCATGGTCAAGTGCTGGTGTAACATGTGACCAGCTGTAGTTACTGGCAGTGGTACAGACAGGTTTCATTTGAACAATCCACATGCATGAGTCGGCAACAGCTTCCTGATTCATTTGTCACTTTCATGATATATAACATTGTTCTGAAACAGGAATTAATAATATAAAGACACTAATTCTACTAAATAAGTTCCTTTTTTTCCTATTTAGTTATCATGATTGCCATGGTGACCCAAACCTGAAAGTCAGTTTTATATTGTAATTTTTGGTAATGTATCATAGGAAATAAGCCTTACTGCATTGTCTTCCAGTTGCAACATGTGTTGTGAAAATTTAAAAATCAAAATTCCAATCATTCAGACATCAGTCATCAATTTGAATTCATAGTATCTTGTGTTTTTTGATCATAATGGGTCATGAATGGTATGTGAGAACTTTTATATGCATTTAACATGTATATGTTTAGTATAATATAAAAGTGCAGAATATAACTTTCGGTATTAGTTTTTTTTTTTTGGCCTATGGCATATGTTATTTTTCAAAGCTCAGTTTATATTCTTTGGTACCAAATAATCTTGCTAGGATGCAACTGAGAATTGGATGCGTGTGTGTGACATTAGAGAAGTCTGTTATGTGTATTGTGGTTGAACTGTTGACATATTGAACCATTTAATATAAGACTGTACAAGGTGAAAAATGTACAGTAGTAAATATCTGATGTCAATTTATTTATGTTTCATATAGAAACTTATTAAGTAGTGATAATATCATTAATGAAAAAGAACCAAGTAATAAAAATTTATTATGGTGATTCTGGCTGTCCAGAATGTCTTGGCATAATTAGTGTTGAATATTGTAGAAGAAAGAAACTTTGAACTCTTTCTTATCAACACTTTATTTATTTTTAAGCATTATAAGCCATGTATGCTCATTGCTGTTGTAATGCAGAAGTACTTTATCCTTCCCAGTGATTTTCATATGACAATTTTTAATGGTATTCAGAAAGTCAGTTTTTTCTTTGTTTAGTGGTCTAGGACATACTTTTACTTTCCATAATGATTTATACATTGGTTATTCCTTTGACTTCCTATATATTTCCTCAAAATATTCAAAATAATTTTATTATGCAGAATGAATTATAAAGAATATGTAATTCCTATGTAGTTATTACCTCTTTTTGTCACAATATGAAAGAAATTCTTGCTTCCATATTCAAACATTGTTGCTTGGTAGGGTGTGATATTGTAAAATGAAAAGAATTGCAGCTATTGCAGGAAATGGTAAAAATATGCATTACAGTTAAAGAAAGGGGATAAAATGTGTGTCTTGAAGGGAACATTTCTCCTGTATTAACTCTTTTGCTGCTTAATTTTTGTTCATACAAAATGCCTTGGCTGTGTAAATAAATTTGAAATTTTTTTAAATTTCATTTTATTTTATTTCCAAATTACTAGCAAATCCTATATTTGTAAGATTTAGAATATGGAAATAAGAGTTTATCACTGCCTTTTTATGTTTAAAAGAAGCAATGGCTACCACTTAACAGCATAGCAGTGTTTTTTAGCAATGTTTTTGAAGAATTATATTAAATGTAAGCAAAATATTTTACAAATTGTTAGCTCCCTTCTGGAAGGGAAAAAAACCTGAAATCTGTAGGATTATGAATTTTGAACTGTCAGTAATGTAGGTTACATGGAAACTGGCTGATAGCAAACTTTGCATAAGTGCAAACTTCACAGCAAAAGAGTTAAGGATACTCTAATTTGGTTCACCATTTATCTTAGTACTTGGTGTACACTGAAACAAGATTTTTTTCTGCCTGTAAAATTAGTAGCAGTTAGCTTTCACCAAAAGAATTTCTGTATGAAAAGTGTGTATCTTATTTTCAAAACAAATTACAACTTCTGTTTCCAGAAAATGCACTCATCCTGCATTTTTACATTTATGTTTCCCTCTTGATTTTTAGACTCAAAATTTTCTGCCACTTCATGAGTGAGTGATGTCCCAGGTGCTTCTTAAAATTATGCATGGACTAGAAATCAAATATTGATGTAGAATGCTGAGTATTGAAGAGTATTAAGTGGAGCTCATCCTGGGTAGTGGAACATTCTATTCAGTACATAAATTTTGATGCTTGTTGTCCAGAATATGTGGAAAGATGCAACCTGAAAGCATTCTGCAGGCGTTCATTGCTCTAAAATAACATTTTCTTATATTTTGTTACGTTTCAGATTCTTTATCTTTGGTATCTTCAAATTATTATAAATGATCTTTGATAGCAAATAAAAATTAATCCTTACTATGGATTCAACACAGCAGTTCAGAAATAGTTTCACAGTCCATAACTTTGTACTTTTGAGAGCTAATAACGTTGTGGTATGAAGTAACTATATTGTCACAGACTGAGTGTGTGTAGCTTAATTAATATGAATACCATAAGTCTGCTAGTCATGGGGTTCTTTTTTATGTTACTGGTCCAGATTTCAAATTCAACAGGTGAGCATCAAATCTTGTGCCATTGTCTTAATACTATAACAATGGTAACAATGGTGTGTAAATGTTATTGAGCACTTGTTTATAATTGGATGGACAATATTGCTTGGGCCTTCTTTTCACAGAACATTATAAATCAAAATTAAATTTGCTTAAGAACTGTTAGTGTAGACAATATAAAATTTAATTGAAATCAAATAAATAGGTTTGGGAGTGAAATATAGGGACACAGACTTTGCCTTCCCATTGTACATTGAATTTATGCACCATGTGTGAAGAATGCTTACAAATGGTAAATGGTCTATGTTGTGAGAATAATACTGTTCCATCCTGTCATGAGTTTGAAATAAAGAGCTGAGGTTGCAGATGTAAGAGACTTGGTGGCTGGATTTTCTCTCTTCCCTTTTAATGAATCTGCATCTGGATTCAAGTATTTGGCTGCCATGTGCATTGCATGTTGTGTGCAAAATGGCATACAGTGTGATGAACCAAGAAGTGACTGGAGGTGTGTATTATAAGAATAGGCAAATTTCATAAATCTTTCTCTTGTTGAGTGACATTTAAATTTTCTGTAAGTTTTTGCACAGTTGGTCAAAAAATTATTAGCCCTGTATGGATCCATTGCCATATTTATGTCTTGAGCCAGATGAATCCAATCCGCATATTCACTATTATTTGTTAAGATCCCTTTTGCTATTATTTGTTTGTGCCTTGTTCTCTAAAGTGGGTTCTTTCCTTCAAAATTTCCAAGTACAGTTACGTATGCATCTCATAACTGACATGCAACATGCCCGCCTATCTCACCCCTCTCTGTTAGATCATCATTATCTTTGTTGAAGAGTACACTATGCAAGAGTGCATTTTGCTTGCTGAGTGTAGGCTTGTTTATGGGTTTTTATGATTTTGAAACTAAACAGCATCAACCAATTAATAATTACAGTGGAGATGAATTGTTTCTTTTTGTAGTAGGAACAGGATTTTTAAATATTAAGAAGAGATTCGATTTCAAAGGGTTTATCACAGACTCGAACGCAAAAAAATGTGAAACTTGCCCTACACTGTAGACCACTTCTCTGTCGTGTCCATGAAGCGGGTAGTCTAAGTAATCAAATGTAGGCTGTACATCTAAACTAGTGTGAGTGACTCCAGATTTCTCCAATAGGCAACTCTCGGTTTATGAACGAGTTCCGTTCCAAGACGTTCGTTATACGTTTTTGTTCGTTATGTGTATCTTGCATTCCTGAGCTTTTACGATACGTGTCGTATACGTTAACAGCCATTTTAAAGCATGAAAACCATGTACTAAATAAACATTATAATAGAGGGAATCGCCGATTTCTTTCCCATGAGAAAACATTCTACGCGGCGTGGCATGTAAACTAACGTGTTTTACTGGCTAGATTAATTTTGATATCCAAGAACAGTTCGGTATAATTATCATGTAATAATTTTCTGATAAAATATTCTAATAAATACATTTTTTAAAATTTTATTTATTTAAATCTTACAATTATGTTCACTATGCGTTTGGCATTTCGTTCTATAAGGAACTCTTTCTATTGGCGAATTTAATAAATGTTGACGTTCGTTATAGCGAATGTTCGTAAATTGAGCGTTCGTAAACCGAGATATGGCGCGACAGTGCCCTTATCATGACTTTGAGTTTTCGATGCTTCTACCCGGGTTATGGGATACCCAAGGAGATAAACGGGTCAGAAAATGTTCGTGGGCCCATTAGTTCATGTCTTTGCCAATAGAGGGCGAAGCAGGTCACCTAGCTTTGAGTTTTCGATGTTTCTATCCGGGTTATAGGATACCCAAGGAGGTCAGATAATTTTCGCGGGCCCATTACTTTATACCTTTCCTACAGATGGCGCGGCAATACACTTAATCTTTAAAATAGTTCATGCCCTCGCTAATATATGGCGCGGCAGTACACTTATCTTAACATTAGTTCATGTCTGCCGATGCAGGTCACCTAGCGTTACAGCGAATGTTCGTAAATTGAGCGTTTGTGAACCGAGAGTTGCTTGTATTGTCATTCTCATTTGAAACAAAGAAACAAAAACAGCGAACGTTGTTCTCACACTCGGACCATTTTGAGCCATTTCTACGTTTTATTACGATTTGTTTACAGTAACGTATATTGGATCACTGCCTACTTTAACTAGTTACGTCTATCTTAATGTGAAAAATTTAGGTAAATTTACTCTCGAATAAATTAGCACGGCGAGGGCGCAAATGTAAAACTCCACATGTTCACTTTTAAAAGGCAACCCTTCCCATTCTTCCCTATTAAACAGTCGTTCCAGCTATGATATCCCTTCTTAAAATCGAACTCTGATTTTTTAGCTCACTGATACTCTCTTTCCTGACGAGGCTGTTATTGTTCTCATTATAATCAACACAAATTAGTTTTGTGCGAAGTTCAAATTACAGCTAAATTCAGTTATTTAAAAAAGTACTGTGAATATATTTCTTTGGGAACATAAAATTTCTATTGTTGAAAAGCCACAAATAAGCGTGAACTGTTGATAGAAAGTCGGAGACGTTCTTTCCACTTGTGTTGTGGAATATCAAGTGAATCCCATGTTTTAGAGCTATTAGGTGAAGTGCTGTTAAGACTCCTTTTTGAAAGGGAATCGAGAATTGTGATTGCAACCAACGGTCGTTGTAATATTTAGCGTCGTCTGACGCATAGAATTGAGTTTACACTTAAGAAGCAATTAGTATGAACTCTGTTACAACGGGAAGTCAATGTCATCCTTCGCCCGCATTGTTATTCCCTCATATCCTGGAACTGGTAGATAGTGTCTCCAAACCGGAATCGAACCTTCACAATATCGATATCTCGTTGCGGGGGTCGATATATCTACAACAAGAAACAGGGGAAAAGTTCTAAATTACAAAACGCGTTCTAAGATAGAAAAATTTGTGGCTAATTTGGTGGAAGGAGATAAATACTTCATTATGTAGACAGAATATTGCATTTTATTTCTCTCAAACCTTGTCTGACAGCAATTAGTACACTCATATAGCGACTAACTTTTCCCACAAATGAGTTCGTGCCTATAAATTTCGGATACATCTGCTCTGAACACCTGTTGTGGTTCATAATGTAAGTTAAAATGTATTCAGACTACATCACTAAAGATTTAAACCCTATTATTTGATATTTTCGTCAATAAAAATTATAAACTGTCATGTAAACATACAAATAAACGAAGACATTTATTTTCCAAATTTGGGTTTGGGTCCAGTGGCGAGTTCTTGTGAACAAGGCTAGGAATTTCTGAGCTGTCATTTTCTCAAAAAAGGATTCTGCTTTATGGCGTAGGGACCTTCCGGGTGAATGCGACTACAAACTAAATTCCAATAAAAAAATCCAAGTGTAAACTGTAAAATAAAACATATTTTGACCAAGTAAAACGTTTGAAACAGCGTTTTATGAACCGCTTTAGCCATTATTAAATTAGTACAAGAATGTAAGTGAAATAACTGGAATATGAGATGGTATTGTTGGGATGGTGACATGAACTGGGCATGTGATTAGGAGAGGAGAAAATAGGAATACTTAAGCATTTTAGTAGGGAAAAGCTTTGAATGGAGAACCATTTGTAAGGTCATGGAGTTGGAAGATAATATTAAAATAAGTGATATGTTTCGATGGTGAAAGGTCATAGAATCGTGACCTTGGTATTTCGTCTTTGGGTTTATGAGTTAGTTATAGTTAGCAGAGCTTCGGTTTTGAGAGCGGTGCCCTGTGTAGCTACAGCAGTCAACATGGTCTGTCCGCTCCGACCAGTGTTACCGGCCGCCTTAGGCCCAACGAGTACATCGACAGTGTCAACCCACGCTGCCTATTGTCACGTGATATTAACTGCCCAG